CTTCCTTTCTGTTATTGGTGCTTTTATTTTTATCATTGTTATTTTTATCGTCGTTTTCATTATCTCTGTTGTTGTCGTTGTTATTCTAATCTTTAAAGTCCCTGCATCAAAATAGTAATTATTATTATTATCATGATTTTCATGTTGTTGATATGATTTCACTATAGTCAATATCATTACTATTATTTATATTTTTTATCAGTAACATCATCAGTAGTAGCAGTAACAGTATTTTCTTTTCCTTCCACTTTTATTCTCTATATCTCATTCCTCTTTCCCATTTTTTTAATCTTTTCCAACTCCAACCACCCTCATCATCGTCTTATTTCGTCTTCCTCTCATTTTCTCTTCTTTTTTTTTCTTTTATCATACAGGTACCTCCCCCCCCCACCTCTGTTTAGTAAAGTCACTGTCGAAAGCGTTGCATAACATCTGCTTCATCTTTGGCAATCCGTAAAGGGGGGTTGGGTATGCAATTCCAACACTAAGGACTTTCTTCTGTGTTTCTGTTTCTTCTATTCTTTTCTATCTAATTGTCTTTTTTCTTTCTTTTCTCTCTCTATCTCTGTCCTTGTCCCTATCCCTGTCCCTGTCTCTGTCTGTTTCTCTCCTTCTCCTTCTCCTTCTCCCTTTCCCTCTCCCTTTCCCTCTCCTTCTCCTCCTTCTCCCTCTCCCTCTCCCTCTCCCTCTCCTCCCCCTCTCCCTCTCTATCTACCTATATCGTTTTTTTAATGTGCGTTGTTGTTTTTATTTACAGGCACCTTAAGAGAGTATGCTTTCCTCTTCATACTTTCCTAAATAAAAACTTACAATTCTATGCAGAGTTTCATTCTCACAATGCGGTGGTATACGATGAAAACGAAAATTGATAAACATTTAATTCCAGCTGTTCCAACAAAGAAACAAAAAGCATAAAATTACCAACTACATAACAAACAACGATTAGACATTAATCTTCCAAAACCTTATTAGATAAGATAATAACTCAATTAAATGGAAAAATCAACCTTTTGGAAACATGTGGAACAATACAATATACAAATCTCAAAAGACAGAAAGTTGCTTTACTGACATAAACGTTTTAATTCACTTTTTAATTACTATTTTCCTTCAGGACTAAGAGTGGTATGGCGTCAAAATCATATAGCGGGAACACATGGCGCTGATCAATCTTAGAGTGCTGGGGAGAACTCTTCAAGTTAATGAATAAAAAGTCAATTTGTGTCTAAACATGCAATGTGTGTGTGTGTGTGTGTGTGTGTGTGTGTGTGTGTGTGTGTGTGTGTGTGTGTGTGTGTGTGTGTGTGTGTGTGTGTGTGTGTGTGTGTGTGTGTAAAAGAGAGATTGAGAGAGAGAGAGAGAGAGAGAGAGAGAGAGAGAGAGAGAGAGAGAGAGAGAGAGAGAGAGAGAGAGAGAGAGAGAGAGAGAGAGAGAGAGAGAGGAGAGAAGAGAGAGGGAGGGAGAGAGAGGGAGAGAGAGAGAGAGAGAGAGAGAGAGAGAGAGAGAGAGAGAGAGAGAGAGAGAGAGAGAGAGAGAGAGAGAGAGAGAGAGAGAGAATGAGAGAGAGAGAGAGAAAGAGAGAGAGAGTGAGAGAAAGAGAGAATGAGAGAGAGAGAGAGAATGAGAGAGAGAGAGAGAGAATGAGAGAGATAGAGAAAGAGACAGAGAGAGAAAGAGAGACAGAGAGACAGAGAGAGAGAGAGAGAGAGAGAGAGAGAGAGAGAGAGAGAGAGAGAGAGAGAGAGAGAGAGAGAGAGAGAGAGAGAGCGAATGAGAGAGAGAGAGAGAGAATGAGAGAGAGAGAGAGAGAATGAGAGAGAGAGAGAGAGAATGAGAGAGAGAGAGAGAGAGAATGAGAGAGAGAGAGAGAGAGAGAGAGAGAGAGAGAGAGAGAGAGAGAGAGAGAGAGAGAGAGAGAGAGAGAGAGAGAGAGAGAGAGAGCGAATGAGAGAGAGAGAGAGAGAATGAGAGAGAGAGAGAGAGAGAATGAGAGAGAGAGAGAGAGAGAATGAGAGAGAGAGAGAGAGAGAGAGAGAGAGAGAGAGAGAGAGAGAGAGAGAGAGAGAGAGAGAGAGAGAGAGAGAGAGAGAGAGAGAGAGAGAGAGAGAGAGAGAGAGAGAGAGAGAGAGAGAAGAGAGAGAGGAGAGAGAGAGATGAGAGAGAGAGGAGATGAGAGAGAGAGAGAGAGAGAGAGGAGAGAGAGAGAGAGGAGAGAGAGAGAGAGAGAGAGAGAGAGGACTGAGAGAGGGAGAGAGAGAGATGAGAGAAGAGAGAGAGAGAGAGAATGAGAGAGAGAGAGAGAAAGAACGAGAAAGAGAGTATATATAAATGTGTATGTATGTGTGTGTGTGTGTGTGTGTGTGTGTGTGTGTGTGTGTGTGTGTGTGTGTGTGTGTGTGTATCTATATGTATGAGACGCTCTCGAATCCAAGCTACGCCTTCGCGGGCCGCCATTTCCCGAGTCCGCCCTTACCCCCTTTCCTCCGCCGCCCCCCCTCCG